GGTTATGACTTCTTGACTTCTCCTCTCAAAGAGGAATGAGGGTTTTTATACCCAGGTGCTTGGACTGGGTCAGGAAGAAATCAGGTGATTTCTTCCTGGCTCAGGATTGGCCAATTCAGGCAAAATCAAAGAAGTGAAAACCACTTCTTGTCCTTGAGTGAGGCTCAGTGAGTCTGCAAAAATGGGATATTTGTGAGGCTCACAGGCCTTGGAAATCCTACAAGTTCTGGGGTCCGGTTTCCACCGGATGCTAGAGCTGCGTCGCTTCGGTCCGCGACATTCAACAAAAATGAATTGCTAAATTTGGTGAAAGTGTTTTTTCAAGGCTAAATAATATTGATTAACAATACATTTTTAGACACTGGTCAACAAATGCTTTACCTACATCATCGATTCGTAATATTTAAAACTATACTGATTTTTTAAATGAACAACAGATATTGATACTGCGGGCGCAGTTCATCAGCAATAAATTCAACAACAAATTCAAAGCTGAACTTACTCAGTATATTGCTGTGAAGCAGTTTTGAGCTTGAAACGACCTCCAGTACTTTCTGCTGTGCACACCAGGTGAATGTCCAGAGAAACAGGATGTCGAAACACGTACAAGAATAAAAAGCTTCCTTGCTCCTTGCAGGAGTCCTTGCTTATAGTTGTACATGACTATATATACAGCAATGATGACGAGATCAATCATTGTCAGCAGCATACTTTTGATTTGGCAACCCTGCTTTGGGTCTCTATCCATATATATATTCCATAATATTGTTACATCACTTTCCTCATCATGAACTTACGGTACTTCCTCAAACTTGAAAAACGACTACATTTTATTTCTGAAAATTTTGTCATTTTTTGAAAAATTGAGCTATATTTCTATGAATACAAATTTAGAGCACATCTTATCATCATTTTTCATTGATTTATAATCCAAAGCAAGTTGTTTGTGTGCTTCTCATTTTCTGTGGCTCTTATTCTAACTGTTCATATATAGTGTGAGAAGTGGCCTTTTTGCTTTTTGCACTCTTTTGAATGCCAAAAATGCAGATTCACTGTGTTTTTTCTTCACAATTATTTCCTGCATCTTGATGATGGCAAGAAGAACATATTTTTTTTAAATTTTGGAAGACATTTTCGAATTATTTGAAAAACAGGAGAAGGGATTGAAAATTTTCCCAACAAAGTTTATGGGATAACATGATCTTACATGTGAACATTCTAGCATATGGACATTGTTCAATTAGCCATTACAGTACATCCAGATCTGATGAAGACCCCATTTTATTTGACACGTATTTATATTGGTCAATATGGTCTTTGGAATTAAAAAAGAGTCCTACTACGTTCACTAAATAATTTTATGAGGAATTAGAGTTAGAATAATTATTCGTATTGAAAATTTTGGAAGGGATCATGCTTTTGGTTTGTTAAAAAAGGGTAATTATTTTTAGCCCTGAAAGATTCTGATTGAGGATCTGGTAGCACATTAATTGATCCCCTCATTCAGACAAGGTATATTATTGACACAGCCAAAGGCTTAAGTTTCAAATTCAATTCATGAATCTTGTATATAGTCTTGTATAAGCTTATATAGGGGAATGTTTTAACAAATTACGCTTTATTAATCTTTGGATTGTATAGGAGGCTGTCAGCTTTGTTTGTGTCAAGCAATACAGCATTGTGTTTTCTTCTGGGATACTTTTGTTATTGAAGGGAAATAATTCTATTACATATAGCTAGGAAGCTTCTATTATTGTTATCCTGCTGCAATAATGAATAACATTCATTTATGCATCCAGAAGAGAAGATTGAAATTGATTTTGACAATCAGTACTTTCATTTGCTGAACAGCATCAGAAGTTTATCATGTTTCTATTTCTCATGTAGATTCGAAGATCTTGTAGATGGCGCTTCAAAAATTCAATTTTAGAAATATCCTTCTTTGAACACTTCAGGGAAATCAGCGTTTTTTGCTGATGATCTAAAAAAAAAATTCTTAGTCCTGAAATGTGCAACATTGAAGTATAATTTCAATCAAACTGGTTGATGAAGTAGTACCTCATTTCGAAATTTCTTTTTTAGAATTTGGCATCTTATATTGCATGACACATGAATGTGTCATACAGGTCAAATATTTAAAGCATCCAAAAGTTGTTTTCAGGATTTAAATCTATTCATCACATGTTTTGGATGAGCTATCAACCTGAGCTGATGCCAGATTGATGTTCCAGATTCATATCAATCCTAGCATATGGGTCCCTGACCTGTGATGGACACTCCAATAAGCATCAGACCATTAAACTCAAAGACGCTGAATTTTTTAAAATCTGCTCAACATCTGGACAATATGTCTCAAGATATGAACACTTGGCAACATTTTTAGAAGAATTAAAAGATACGCTAATTTTCAATTGCTCATATCTCAAGCAACTTGAACAATTGCGATGAACAGAATTACTGTATATCAATCAAAATACATATTTTCATAAAATTTAAAAAATGTATTTTTCAAAGCAAGATAATTTTGTTATTTTCTTTTGAGAGATTTTTCTCCAACTGTGTAAGATATAAAGCAATGGTGTGCTTGTTTTCTTTAGCTCTTTCTGGGCTAATTTTCTTGACAAAAAGGCAGATTCTGTGTGCGGCAGATTTTGCTCAGTTTTCTTTCTCTGCTTTGAAGTCAAGGAATACTTTTTATTTAATTTGTGCAAGGACTTCTTCCAATTATATCTCTCGACATGTGAGAAGAAATTCCAAAATTCCTTGTTGACGTCTTTACGGAAATTGTATCTGACGAGCAGATGTTCCGACATACGGACGCATGTCGGAGACGTAATAACGTCCGCATTTCAGGGCTCGTACACTGCCCTTTTTTTTTGCACAATAATAATCTTCTTAGACTCGACCTGAAGCAATATGTCAGTGCGGTAAAACTTTTGCACATGTATATTCTCGTCACACCAACTGCTTCTGGATTGCCACATACTGGCTGTGCAAACGCTGTCGGCAAAAATTGTAGAAATCGATTTCGTTTGTCAAGTTCCGGCTGACTAAATCTTGGATTTCTTGCGACACTGGCCGTTTGTACCAGTTCTTCTCTGCACCCGGAAGATCGTCGCCTTGGTCTGCAAAAAAAAAAAAGTTCAAAATTAAACTGAGATTTTGTTTTTCAAATACTGTGGTCCAAATTCAAAAAAAAAGGTTTCAATTCGAGAAATGGGGTGTGACCCAACTAAGCGTAAGAAAAAACTGAGCAGAGTCCAACTGAGCGTCTCTATAAATCTTGTATTTGGCAAATCGATCAGACTTATTTCTCCAATCATTGGTAAATTGCACATATCTGCAAATTCCCACGAATTTCCGAAACTTCTTTTTTTAGCAGCAGAATAAACAACCAATGGAAGTTTAAAATTTTTTAGACCTGAAAAAGGTATACATATATGATATGACATAAATTGTTGATGTTCGACGCAAAAAAATTTAAGCTGACGCTAATTTACCTGAAGCTCACTTGACACTCTGGCCTCGATCTGAAAAGTTAGGATTGATTAGTTTAAAATATACATGATGAAATACGAAGTTATTACTTATAAAGTCATCAAAATTGACAGCCGCAAAGAAGCGAATTTATTCGTTTTCTGATATTTATCATGAATTCATAAAAAAGAGTCCTTACATTAAATAGGTTTCATCATCGTATGGAATAATAAATTATTCTTTGAGCCCACAATATAGTAATCACTCTATTAGCAGCTGACGTGTCTCAAAATTAGTCCCGAAATTGTCAAAAAAAAATATTTGTTGAAATTGTCATCCTGCGAAAATAAGATTCCCTCGTAGAGCTTTTCCTGGAACCTCTGGATGATGAGTTGTAGCGAATATTTGAAAATTTTGGAAAACTCATTATTGCAGGCATTAAGAAAAAATTAAGCAATTTCAACTTTCTTCCCCATCTCCACTTGATAAAATCATATACATATATACAGTAATTCATTATTGACAAAGGTATGGGATTCCAGGTTTAATGGTCTCCTGGATTCGGGGACAGAATGCAGAAGTTCGAATCGATTAAAAATTGTGCATAGTTTCCAAAAATTTCAAGATGAACACAAAATTTCAAGAAACATTTTGAAAAGTTTTTCATCAAGATTTGATGAACTCACCTTCATAAAGTCGAGCGGCGCCACGGAAAAACTTTGGGACATAGTGACTGAGAACAGCCAGAGTTTTGTTGAAATCCTCCAACACGCCGACCACGGCATAATGCTTTTCCACATTCGCTTTTGCCATCTTCAAGGCGTGTGAACTGTCAAATGGCCTGGTGGAAAATATTTCAGATACAAAATATATATGGAGATTTTTCTGCTTCAGAAATAGGTTTTCTGTCCTAAAATTGATTTACTGTTTTTTATTGGACATATACTGTATATACTTTTTGTATATTTGTTATAAATACTGTATCCTATATATTTCATGTAACATATTGTTCTGGGCTTTATGCTATTACAGTAATCCAAAATTTTCGGACAATTGTGCCCAGCAGTGAATAATGGAAAATTAACAACTTTTGGCAAGGAGCCCATAAAAAATTATTGTTGCGTCAACCTTAGTGTCTTATTTTCAGCACGTTTTTCTTGGGCATTCCCTTACAATACAAATTGGCGTGCCAAAAGACATAAATATGGCCAAAGCATCTGATGGCAATAATGCTGTCAAAAGATGCCATATAATTTCTTTCATCAAGTGGTGATTCACTTGATGGAATATTTTTCCTGAAGATCAATATCTTCAGGTTTCATAATGTTTGGATAAAAATATTTGTTCTTTTTTGTTCCACAATATTCTCGAATTTATTTTCTCGTACGACGTAGCGTTTCCATGCGCTGCGTCGCACTTTCTGTGCCTCTCCTGTTCGTGCGCTGCGGGCGACATCTAGTCGACCCGCGACACGCAGTTGGAATCACAGAATAAAAGTCGTGCAAAAAGAACCCGTAAGGGAATGTTATGTTTAACCGCACGGTTTTCTGTATTTATACCGGTTTCGTAGACTACCGTTATTACGACAGTTTTCTACGGATGTTTGGGTGAGAAACACATTTGCGCTTATTTCTGGCAGGTTGCATGACACCTGCCAATGGTCAACTTTAATTCCACCCTCAAATCTGCTTTAAATCTGTAGAAAGGCTCTTATAGGAAAACTATGCTGCAGAAATTCATAATTTACGCGTAAGTAATTTTCTCTTTCCTTTGGGGATACACTTTTTACAGAACCATCGGAGAGCAACAACCAATTCATTTTTCTTAATAATCAGCTAGGTATTCGCAGATAATTATGCCCATCGCTCAGAAAACGTAGTTCCCAATATCAATTGAAATTTTTATAATTTTGAAAAAATTTCCACAAAATTGAATACACAGATCTTTTTGGTGAAACTTTAAATAATTTGGTCCATAACATATGGTCTCTCATAAAAATCTTTTTATTAAATTCAGAAATAAATTAGAAATGCCTAAAAGACATTCTAAAAATGGTCGCACAAGCCCCCAAACAAATCACGAAGCTTCAATTTCCAAAAATTTATAAAAATAGTAAATGTTTCAATTGCTATGTTTGTACAGCAGTACCTTCAATCTCTAATGGAAATGTGTTTCTGAAAGATACAGTATATTAGAATAAGGACAAAATGTCCTTTGTTTCCGCCATTTTAAGCTCTGACAAGGAACTTCTCTGGCCATTAGTTAGTTTTGGCACTATATCATGGTATGAGGAGCATATAATAGAGGGGATTTTTTAGGCTATATTCGTGGTAATTATAAAGTGTACGTGACTTAACTCCTCGTTACTAAGTTCCCAACTAAAATGAATAAGAACGACCGTCTTTTTTGTAGAATGTTCTCACGGCCAACAACTTGACCTTCAAAGCTTGGTCTTTACGACCGAGTATTTTAATTTGTTTAAATTTAGAAGTATTTTACAAGTGCTTTAAAAATCCTGAAACAATAGCGCACAAAACAAAAAATTTCCTGTAAATAATTTAATAAATTCTTTCAATGTGCTAATATTTCTAACAATACAATTGTACAGTACTTATATTTTATGATGAAAATAACCTCTCAAGTGTTCGTTGAACAAGTCTTGGGTTGAAAAAGCAAGGCATTTCTGGAAAACCAATGTTTTTGTTTAGCAAATGTGTTGCTGTAAGGTGAATCGGATGTTAACGGGGTCAGCTGTTAACTGGGGCCTCACCAGCATGCGTGGTCTTCATGGGAACAGAAAAAGCGCATTTGTCTTCTATGGTCGGTCCCAGCTTCCTCTGAACCCCGGATCCACTGGCACTCGGCATCCCCAGAGAAAACACAGCTTTCAAAGTCCTTGAAAAAACGACACGCACTGATTATTCAAACCAAGTCCTGCTCATCAGCATCCAACCATGAGAAGAAAAAAAATATTCAACTGGTGGAAGATATGAAATAAGACAACTTGATGCAGTACTTCACGAACAATGCTGTACTTTTTGTTCCGTGTACTGGTAATGACGCAATTACTTTGCATTCCAAAAGATTTTCTCGCAAGCTTCTCATAAAAAAATTCTCAATTTATAAATGCATTTCTGCACTATATACCTAAATGCTACAGATATAATGTACTCTAAATGCATGCAGTATATAATTTTACATTAGATAATCATCAGGAAGCCATCATATAGGCCATTCTGAATTCTGAAATTTGGAAATCCAATTTTGCAGAGAGATTATATTCATGTTTNAGCTTAAATAATTTGGTCCATAACATATGGTCTCTCATAAAAATCTTTTTATTAAATTCAGAAATAAATTAGAAATGCCTAAAAGACATTCTAAAAATGATCGCACAAGCCCCCAAACAAATCACGAAGCTTCAATTTCCAAAAATTTATAAAAATAGTAAATGTTTCAATTGCTATGTTTGTACAGCAGTACCTTCAATCTCTACTGGAAATGTGTTTCTGAAAGATACAGTATATTAGAATAAGGACAAAATGTCCTTTGTTTCCGCCATTTTAAGCTTTGACAAGGAACTTCTCTGGCCATTAGTTAGTTTTGGCACTATATCATGGTATGAGGAGCATATAATAGAGGGGATTTTTTAGGCTATATTCGTGGTAATTATAAAGTGTTGCACTGAATTGAGGAGCAATGATTCAAGGGTTGATTTTACTTATTCTTGCTGGCAGAAAAAACATCTTACAAGAGTGCCGGTTGTTGAACTGGAAGTTTCGAACCAGAAATGCTGGCTCATAAAATCTTTGTTTAAATTTAGAAGTATTTTACAAGTGCTTTAAAAATCCTGAAACAATAGCGCACAAAAAAAAAATTTCCTGTAAATAATTTAATAAATTCTTTCAATGTGCTAATATTTCTAACAATACAATTGTACAGTACTTATTTTTTATGATGAAAATAACATCTCAAGTGTTCGTTGTACAAGTCTGGGGTTGAAAAAGCAAGGAGTTTCTGGAAGACCAATGTTTTTCTGCTAAGCAAATGTGTTGCTATGAGGTGAATCGGATGTTAACGGGGTCAGCTGTTAACTGGGGCCTCACCAGCATGCGTGGTCTTCATGGGAACAGAAAAAGCGCATTTGTCTTCTATGGTCGGTCCCAGCTTCCTCTGAACCCCGGATCCACTGGCACTCGGCATCCCCAGAGAAAACACAGCTTTCAAAGTCCTTGAAAAAGCGACACGCACTGATTATTCAAACCAAGTCCTGCTCATCAGCATCCAACCATGAGAAGAAAAAAAACATTCAACTGGTGGAAGATATGAAATAAGACAACTTGATGCAGTACTTCACGAACAATGCTGTACTTTTTGTTCCGTGTACTGGTAATGACGCAATTACTTTGCATTCCAAAAGATTTTCTCGCAAGCTTCTCATAAAAAAATTCTCAATTTATAAATGCATTTCTGCACTATATACCTAAATGCTACAGATATAATGTACTCTAAATGCATGCAGTATATAATTTTACATTAGATAATCATCAGGAAGCCATCATATAGGCCATTCTGAATTCTGAAATTTGGAAATCCAATTTTGCAGAGAGATTATATTCATGTTTATCCAGCATTCACAAAAAAGAGCCCAATAAAATATTCAAACATCATAAAAATGAGCCCAGCAAATAATTGTGCATAGCAAAATGCTTATCAAATGTGTTTGACACATCCAGCTGCTATACATAATGTGTTGTGCCTACTCAGGTAGAAGTGCTCAGGACTTTTGCTATGCATAGCAGCTAGCAGTTTTGCTACACCTGCTTGTTACACCCACCTGGGTAGAGGAAAAAGCCTTTTACTTTTTCTGCACATTTGCTTGCCTCTTTCCTCAGCCCAAGCAGGCATAGCAGAAAATGTTGGGCATAACTAGGTATACATACAAAATGCATGCTGCTACACATAACTGTTACATCCTGCCCTGCCAGTAGCAAATTATTTGCTGGGAATGATTAAATTAAATACAGTGGCCCCCCGCCTAACAGACCTGGATTGGAATAAAAGCTATAAAAAGCGTGAAAGCTCTAGAGGGCGACTAAGACATTCAAGCAATGAGGAATATGAAAAACAGGAACGTTCTCCACGTCGATCCAACTTTGCGTCCACGTTCCGTACAAAAAATTAGTGTTGAAAATTGAAATTTTCAATTTTCATGTAATTGAATTTGTGTAAAGGACTTTTCGTCTAACAGACTGATCCCTTGCACAAATCAAGTCCGTTAGACAGGGGTTGACTGTATTAAACTTGTTGCTTTTCCACTTCATTCACAGCCCATCATCCCCAAGCAATGATAATGATTTTTCATCATGATTCTCTTCTAGTTAAGTCAAAGTTCCTATATGCAAAGTTTCTGCTGTGCTGTCCATTCAGAATCAGAAATATAAGCGGAAAAGTTCAAGAATAATTGAGTGAAGGATACTTTTAAGTATTTAAGAAATATACAGACATATCTTTCCTGATTCCATGTTGATAGACCAGAAAAATCCCTGTTCATTTTATTTATTTTTTTGTCTTGATATAATCATGACATGTGATGTCCACGTCCATATGTGATGTCCACTAATGGACATCACGTGGCATGATTATATCAAGACCAAAATATAAAATGAACAGGGAGTATTCTGGTTTATTAACATGGAATAATTGGGTATAGCAAAACGCATATCAAATGCGTTTGACACATCCATCAGGAAAGGCATATCTTTCCTGATCCCATGTTAATAAACCAGAAAACTCCCTGTTCATTTTATATTTTGGTCTTGATATAATCATGCCATGTTATGTCCACTACTAGTGGACATATCACAAATATGACCTTGACTTAACTGCATTCTCTTGTGTTGCAAGCTTGCAATAGAAGACAATACAGATACTGTAATACTGTATCAATGACTCTCTGGGTTTCCTCCATATGTATAGTTGCTGCAGTGTACATTAAAACTATATCAATAAAGATACAGAATCCTTCAGAGTTTCTCAATGTCCTCTGAAACTTATTTATTCCTTGTAATTAAGCTAGCTGAAAAATGGATGCTCACCTTCACAACCCATTCAATTGTGGGCATGCCCAGTTCAGGCTTAGCCTTGTATCTGCCTACAGTCACCCAAGGTGCTCTCACAATGAAAAAGGATGAGAGCAATCGCTCAAAGGGTTGACGAACGATGCTGACCATGATTGGGAATTTCTTACCATACCTCAAAAAGAAGAAGAAGAAGAAGAATAGTCATAATTCATTCTTCAGTTTGAAATTCAAAATATACCAAAAGACTCACTTCTTAAAATCAACGAACGCTGTACGTGTTCCATATGCTGCTGGAGATTTCATGCTGCTAACAGTGTCCACAATCTCACGCTGTAAACATTCACAAAACAGTTCTAGATATTGTTTTGGCTATAAATAGGATTATTTTGAGTCCTGTACTGCATGTGATAAGTATGCCAATTTTTGTACAAGAATGCAGCAAAATATTCAGGCATTACATTTTCTGCCCCTAAAATTTAAAGTCTTGAATTTGAATCTATAAAATATTTTACACTGCAATATTCTGCTTCAAAACATTCAAAAACTTAATTTTACAATGTGAACTAAATTCTGATGCAGAAAAGCACGTTCAACATTACAGTGCCTCTTATTGAAGGTCACATTCTGATGTTCTGTCAAAAAAACTAATTTTTTGGTTCAATCTTGCACTGTCCAAGCTTCGAACTTTTTGCAACAAGTTAGCATGCCCAGTTCAGGCTTAGCCTTGTATCTGCCTACAGTCACCCAAGGTGCTCTCACAATGAAAAAGGATGAGAGCAATCGCTCAAAGGGTTGACGAACGATGCTGACCATGATTGGGAATTTCTTACCATACCTCAAAAAGAAGAAGAATAGTCATAATTCATTCTTCAGTTTGAAATTCAAAATATAAATAAAGACTCACTTCTTAAAATCAACGAACGCTGTACGTGTTCCATATGCTGCTGGAGATTTCATGCTGCTGACAGTGTCCACAATCTCACGCTGTAAACATTCACAAAACAGTTTTAAATATTGTTTTGACTATACAGTAAATAGGCTTATTTTGAGCCCTGTACTGCATGTGAAAAGTATGCCAATTTTTGTACAAGAATGCAGCAAAATATTCAGGCATTACATTTTCTGCCCCTAAAATTTAAAGTGTTGAATTTGAATCTATAAAATATTTTACACTGCAATATTCTGCTTCAAAACATTCAAAAACTTCATTTTACAGTGTGAACTAAATCCTATACGTCTTTTCGTGCAAGTTGTAATGTCACGGAGAATAACTTCCAGTGTAAGACTACAAGACAGTTTTTTTGATTAAAAAACCAAGTTAGAACGTGACAGGTTCGAAGCTTGAAAAACGTTGTTCAATTCCTGGTCTGGAATCATTGATTTCCTTTTGATGAAACTCAACTATACCCATATTATTTTTGCATCATCCAGCAAGAATCACATTTTTCGGGATTAAAATCGAACGAATCATTTTTTAGTATAACAAACTCTATTATTCGCTATTTGACATCGGAAAGTGAATAATGTACAGCAGTGTAGTATTTCATTTTTCAAAGAATATGGAATTTTGTTTCACCTCTGCATCAGCATTGATGTAAATTTTGTCATTAGAGATCGTGGGGTTTTCACTCTTGAAGCGATATTTATTTTCTTTGGAGAGCAGCTCTAAGAGCCCAAGAATTGGACCTGATCCTGAACGAGGCACACCATTGAAGAACAGCACGTCTCCCAGTTGAGCTTTCTTTGTGAAATTCAAGTCTCCCTGAAAAATAAAAAATACAGACTCAGAATAAAAACATCCTGCTCTCCTTTCCAAATAATTAAAAAAAAAATCAGACTGACCTTAATGGGGATTTCCCATGGTTGAATGATTTTATTTTTCTCTGAGCTCACAGGCTTGGATGCACTTTGGCTGCTCCCATGATGTGCTGAAATCAAAGAAAAGATGAGAAAAAATATCTACATATCAATAATAAAGTATAAGAACAGTGAATTATGTTGTTTTGACAATTATTGAATATATACATTTAAAATTGTGCATTGCATTACTGCTGTATGTTAATTATACTGTACTGCACTCAAGTTCCATGTGTGCCCACAAATAAAATAGACACCTAGAATGTTGAGTAAAAAGTTGTGTAAAATAATTTTTCACCCAAGACACACACACAAACACAGCTTATGCTTATCCAAATACAGTAAATGAAAATCATAATATTTTATTACTTCAAAAACTGAAATATATGAAACTATTAATTCAGGCTAAAATAAAACACATTTACAATAGCTTTCTATAGCCATTTTTCTGTGCTGTTTAGGCGCCATAGTCTGATAAAAATCATTTAAAAACTTACCTATATAAAAGGGCCAAGTAGGTTTTTAAAACAGTTATATACAGCACTGTATAGAGAGCAGATGTACTATTGGACAGGTATGGAAGGAGAACACATCCTTTAAAAATGTAATACGTCACTTTTGAACCTTTATAGAGGGTGAAATTGTGTTCAAAAAACGTTTCATCTGCATAATAGGACATGCACTTTCAATAGTGAATCATTTATATATTCTTCAGCACATACCCCAAATATTATACTGTACTGCTCTTTCTGCATATCACTGTAATTGGCATAAAATAGTGCAGATCTATAGAATTTGAAATTTATAATTTAAACGTGTTTTTCAGCAGAGTATTTGTTACTTCTATAATTGATGGCTTATGCATGTTCGTATAATATAACTAATTTATATACGTAGTTCTATTTTTCAGAAAATCGCATTAAATATTACGGAGCATTCAACATACCTTTAGCAACTTTGTTCGTATTTTTAGCAATACTGTCGGGGATTTTGCCAGATTGAACATTGCTGCTGCTGCTGTCTGGTTCAGTCACACTGTGGATCCGTTCCCTCAATTCGCTGTACTTGCTGTACAGACACAGGGAGCCAACAATTGCCAGGAGAATCACCCAACCGCCACTGCAAAGCCTGAAATAAGTACAGTATATACATATATACAGTATATACAGTGAACCCCGGACAACGGACTTAATTTGTGCAATAGACTATTCTGTTGGGTGAAGTGAAGAACCTGTTACGCAAATTTAATTGTTGAATTTTTTAATTTTTACCATAATTAATTTTAAACCAACAGAAGTCTGTTATGTGGATTTAGTCCATTGCATGCATGGGAGGAAAAACTGCCTCCAGAGGCAGTCTGTTGTGCCAGAGGTATGTTGTGCGGGGGTTGACTGTATATACAAAACAATCATTTTTTCTGCATGAATGCAGAAATAATTTTCTTCACAGAGAATTTTTCAACAGCAGAGCTTACCCAGTTTTTGTGGTCCACACATTGCGAAAGTGACTGCTCCGACTTCCATGGGACATACTCTTCACACGCGGAAACTAAGCTTATGGATTCATTCAAATTAAGACTATTTTTCCGACTAGACTTAGGCACTAAAATTTCTGTCACTCGAAAAAGTAGGCAGAGTATACCTGTGAAATTTAAAAAAAAAATTCGCTGAACATTGTGTCATGCATGTACAGTATGCATAAATAATTAATTCTGTATCAAAGAAGCTTGCAATAAAAATATGAAAAATACCTGTGCTGAATGCAAATCAATTTGAAATATACACAAGAGTAATTTGAACCTGTGCACATGAAAAAATAAATTCCTAAAAAGATTTCTAAGAATTTATTTTGACAAAATTGTATTTGAATACTGTAACTTCCTAATTGATGATGGTTGTCAATGTTGATGGAGAGGAATTTGTTTTTAAACAGCATTATTTCAAAGAAACTGCATATATTACTCTTGAAAAAATCTTAGCAGTATATATAAAGTCCAGCTCGCACCTATATCACAAAAATCACAAATCCATGCGTTCACACAAAATTCAGAATCCACGCGTTCAAAAATTTCCTTCAGCACGTTTATATATGCATCCTTTACAGTATAAAACACGCGAATTTTTTTTTGCACAAAATTAGACACCATATATGCAGATATTTCAAGTCCGCGCAGGATAATAAAATTATCAAAAAATTAAGAAAAAAAATGCAGGAAAGGCGCCATCAGCAGAAGGATTATTTGGTCGGCGATCGGCGTTCGCTTGAGCATAATACTCGTACATACAGCTAGCTTCGCGCACACCAGCAGTGCGAGGCGGCCGAGTTTCTGGGGCACCGACCGCCGGACAAGGAAGAAAGTCGCCTCCGGTAACGTTATATATTCCCTCACTGCATTTGTCGTGGCGGCCAATGGATGTGGAAGAGAGGCGCTTGGCCATGCGTGACCATCTTCTTCTTATTCTGCTGCGCTGTCTGCCTCCAAAAGCCGCCGCAGCAGCAGCAGCAGCAGTAAGTGGAATGAATGGCTGAGTAATGATTGTTTTCTTTCTTTTCTCTGTCTCTTTCTCCATCACTACTATGTCCTCTACACAGTATAGTGCTGTGGCTTCCGGGTAAAGGGGTTCATTGTGTGACGCATTGCATGCTGATATTCATGGTAAAATTTCACTATATGTAGCTATGATCTTCTGTTAGAGTACAGTTTACATTTAAAAAAACAACCCATGTCTTCGCAGAGGGTCCCAATAACTTCTCCAAAAAAATTATTGTTGTGAAAATGACGCTTCTACAAACTTCTTTCCATAAGTGTAATACTGTATATCAGTGTGAAAATTTTATTTTGCCCTGAAATATGTGTGTGATGGACCATAGGAATTTCCACCAATTGGCAAAAAAAAATTAAAATACCACTTTTATTGTTCAGCATTGAAAATGAATTTTTAAAATGCTCAGGACAGATAGTTTAATATTACAGTATTTCAGAAAGTGTATAAGCATGATGTCCTCGGAACTTCTCTAGCTGTGCATTTCACAATTAGAAATGGCTACTCCTTTCTTTCAATTAAAAAATATGCTTTTGGAATATCTGCTGCGAAAAAAACAACAGCGGTACATAGACGATTAATTGTTCTTTTATACTCATGTATTATTTGATCCCGCTAATATTTCAGTGGAATCGGTGAAAAATGTGAAGAAAAACAGTTTTAAAAGAAGAAAATGAAGTGGATCACGGATTTGGAATTTATTGTATTCTTTCATCAAGGGAGTTGCTGGAAGTTATAATAATTATCGATACGTACAGGACATTTATGCTGTGCTGGAAGCATTTACTATCAGTTCCCCACAAATTTTTACTTTTGGATGGTCGAAAACTCACGAATCATCTTTTATTTTATTGCAAGCAGCACAGTACTGTATTTTTTCACAAGTTCTCAGGAGTTTGTTCTAAAAATATTCACAAAAAATAAAGTCCTTCAACTATGAAGTACAATGTACCGGTATATACGATACACAAGAATGTATAAGCATCATTTTACGTATGACAGATGAGGTTCATCAGTATAATCTTACTATACTTACATTGGTGCCCCAATTAATAAACTGTTCATTCATTTAAAACGGAAAGTTGATTACCAAAAAAAACTATTCTCAATACCCCTTACTTGATGAGTTGCGTAGGAATTTACGCCCTGTTAATCAGCAACAAATTTCAACGTAAAAGTAGGGACGGTCCAACAGATGACCCATTCTTGGGAAACAAGACCAGCTGGACGAGAACGCTCATACGGTTTGAATACCGTACAAGCGCAGGGTAACGTACTATACGGTGATGCACACAAAGAGGAGTGAACATAGATGTCGCTCGCAGTGTATTTTGATCGGGTGCCATGATATCCAGTAGTCCATAATGTACTTCAAAAGGCATCACTTAATTTTTCAGTTTAAGGTTTAATCCGATGATAAAATTGAATATTACTAAATCAAAATAGGTGAACCCGTCGTCCAATCTGGATCCACAATGCCATGGGGAAAATAATTTCAACAGCAGGCACATGTTATTTTCGCTCAAAGCAACAGCATCAGCAGCAATAATGCCTCTGGATTTTATACATTAGTGTACAATACTGTAAAAAAAAAACAGCAGGGATGACATCGGGAAAGAAAACATATGCAACGTCGGTATTAGTCATCTAATTGTGACAGAGCAGCTACACCTCGATTAATCCAATGGGTGACCGACTGGTTCGTGGGTAGATCCAAGATCTTTTACTTTAACCACCTTACAGGACAACACCTATTTGACGGAGAAGCTCGCCTTCAGGCTATTTGTCCCGTAAGTATTTCGTAGTAGGATGGTAGAACCACAAAGACGTCCTATTACATACGTAAAAAAAAACTTATCAAATAGAGAAAAGCTGAATAGTACACAGAGTACTGTATATATATATGGAAATAAGTGGGAAAGATGGTAAGGTACGGTACGTAGGAGTATTTCAAGAAAACTAAAACCTTCCGTATTTCGGCGCATGGGCTTGCGCAATTCTCACGGGTACCGTACCAAAAAATTAAGAATACCACGACAGATAATGGGCCCAATAAAATTTGTATTTATTCTTGTTCCACATTTCCATCTGCCAGTTCAATTTGAGTCTAAATATATATAGTTTTTTTATTCATTCTGATCCCTCAAAGGCACACAAAAATTTGCAAAAAATAGATACCACAGTATATGACAAGCACCCAATTATTATTTTTTTTGCTTAATTTTTCAGGCAAAAGGTTCTGTTGTCACATGAAAAAATGCAGTATATTTTAATAAAACGGAATTCTACCTTCGCACGCTTTTTTCATGCTGGATATTACTACTGTACTTCAAAATTTAATTCTAAAAATTTCACATTTCCGATGTAAAATCTTCAAAACACGATTTTCACTGAATTGGTAAAAATTTGAAGAGGAGAACAGAATCAGATGGGATGAGTTAATTTACTACTTTAACTTCAAAATTTAATTCTAAAAATTTCACATTTCCGATGTAAAATCTTCAAAACACGATTTTCACTGAATTGGTAAAAATTTGAAGAGGAGAACTCTTAGTCTACCCTACTCAATTAAATGATGAAAAAAGTTACTCTCATACTCTGTGTTATATTACTACGTCCACCTAAGGCAGATATGCTGCTTTAAGTTCGCTGGTCGTCTTCTTTAATCGAAATATGAGAACCCCTCTAACATGGGAAGAGAAACCTTCATGGGACAACAACGAAAAAAAAGAGATTAAGTACAGAGAAAATCGTTGGAAACAATTAAGACTGTTGTAGGAAGAGTCGACCTGCAGATTTTTTTAAATATATAAATTTGACTTATTAGCAGAAAGCCAACATGTGAGTCTATTATGAAAAATAAGCTTCACTGAATGTGTAAGTTTCATTAACAATTTCCTAAAGATGACTTACTTCAGTTTCATCGAGTTTCCTCTCGTATGGGTGCAGGCCGATGATGGGCAACGGGTCATACAAGACCTTGGGTTCCGACTCCGCAAGTACCTTCTCTTGCCAGTCCCATCTGGCTCCCTCGAGAAACAAGCCCTGTATGATGTTTAATAAAATACATATCACACATCATCAAACTCTTCGCCGCAATTAAAAGATCGGCATGATAAAACTTGCCTCAATATAAGCACCGTCTTCCAGCTTTATACGCGATGTTCATCATCATCAGCAGCATCGGAATTAAGGTGATTAAACCATCGATAATTCACACGACGAAGATCATATCACCTCTAATGAATCACAGCATCAGAATATATGTTAATCAAATAACAATGTTTTCCAAAAATTATTCGAATTTCCGCTCTCGAGATCATTTTTAAGTGGGTTCGTTTTGTTAGTTAGTTAACGAAAGGTAATTTAAACGAAGGCATACAGGGTATATCGTCTCTTTTAAATAAAACTTAGTGCTATGCGCTAAGTGCGAATAGCTAAAAGTCAACTTTTGTTAGTCGGGTTCGCGGAACAATGATGATCAACATTCATTTACTAGAAGATCACATAGAGGTCGCCTGAATCACGGACATGAAAGAATGCAACAAAAGTTAACTTAATCGAAACGGACTTTTCCACATCTGGCGAAACATGACCTGATTATTCAAGAAACCTCGACGAAGAAAAAAATATACAGCAGACATATACCTGATTAAATACGAGCGACATCTATAAACAATGACAACAACTTATAGAATCGGGAAAGTCGGACGCAGGACGACGGGCGAAGAAATCAATACTACTGAAGACTACTGAAGTACTACTACTGTACTTGATATATTTGATTCGAGATTTTTTTTTGCGATTTTTCCACCATGGACCGTCCGATACATTTCAATTTTTCTTGCATTTTTCAACCCTTGATTTTGAGATTATGGGAAAGCCTGCAAGGTATATAAATTACTCACGTGCAGGTCGGGATCAACAGAACAACTGTGAGTCGGATCCATTTTCTTGTCAGTGATGCTGAACCGGAACACGAGTCTGTCAATCGGTGCGTTGTATTTCCTCGCGAAATTCTGCAAAGTTCCGGTTAGGAAGGAAGGAGCAAAGAAAAAAGCCGAAATCCAGAAAACTTTCGGCGAACCGTGGTCAATCCAGGATTGGAAAAACCGGAGACTGAGGAAGAGAAAATGAGAAAATTACATTTGTGAAAAGAGGGAACAGAGGAAGAATAATAATTTCGGGTTCTGTATTTCAATTTAATGTTCAGTACGCAAAAACACTTTAAAATTTGCAACAATTGATGAAAGAAAATGCTAGACTTATTTACGCGCTACGTTAAAAATATGGCGGTTTTTTTATATTTTGTGAACTTCGATCTTTTCCAGAACACAATTTTTCCAAAATCTGCGGAAAATGAAAAACTGCTATGGACACAGAGTTGGAAACTTCAATGAAAAATCTGTTCAATTGCTAACGGTTTATTCGTCGTTCAAAATTTTTATATTTGACAAACAATATTTTTAAATTCCAATGTATCGTTGCTATATACTATAGCGTCGCTAATATCCAAAATATTTCAGGAAAATAGGCACAGTATTACATTAAAAGATTGGAGACATGCGTACCGTAGCAAAAAATCGCCGATGAACGATCCCAGGGGTTTGCGGGAAGGATAAGCCTTAGATTTCCAAGATCCTGGGATTTTTCCGAGCAAAAGGCTATTGTGCAGATTCTCCAGTTCCACAGACATGATGATCAGGCCTTGAACTGCACTGCACACTTGCTCCAAGCTGCTCTTGACCTCTTTCAAGAGTCTGTTATACTTGGCAACCTCCTGTTGAAAAAAAATGAAGAATTTCTTCAATCCATCCACAATAAAGATTTAAATGTAAGTCATTCGAAATACAACTGAATAACTCAAAAGAAGTGAACGGTGAAAACTGCTTCAAGTGAATGAGAAGCACTTCCATGGAATTTTCCCCCTCAAAAATCAAGTTGAATGCAACATTTTCAAAATTTCAGTTAGAATTATAACAGCCAAATTTATGGTGTGGACTTATTAGTCGACCCTATGACGAATAAAACTCAATTTGGTGAATTGACCCGTTCGAGTGAGTCGGTTGAATGAGTTGTATCGTGTCCAAAGTGACAGTTATTGTACCTTGTCTAGTCAATTTCAACATGGATTGGTCTCAAATAATAAGCAAACAATGTCATGTTCAAGATGATCCTGGTGGGATCAAAATATGTACAGTACATACAGTATATCATTTTGCAACAGGACATTATGCAACAACAAAAAACTCTCCTTCAAAGTCATGGTTGCTATCACCAATGTTGCAAGCAATTAGCCTAGCAATACTCACATTCCTCAACCCAATATACTGCCGACCTCATGCTGTAGTCTTAATTGCCTAAACAGGCAATGGACAAATAGTATTTCACAAGCAGCACTGCTGCATTTAGGACATTGTTGTTTATTCAATAATTTTATTATACTGGTTTTCACAGATGAATCCTGCTAAACTGTATAGAAAGTGCTCAAAGACATTAAAATTCAAGTCCTAAAATTATTAGTAATTGTGAGGAAAAAATAAATTTGACATTTGACTTTTTTTCTGATGAACTTGAGAAGAAGTCATTATCCCAAATTCCCATTTTGAGGAGATCCAAGACAATAATTGTTTTCTACTGCATTAATTATTGTTCATTTTTCATGAACATAGAATGCTGGTGTAACTTCAAAGGGTTCAATAAGACATAAGACATGTAGAAGTATTTACTAACCTGTCTAAGGACAGTGTTCATAGAATCTTCATACTGGATTGGGTACTTTGACTCAACCCCTGCCAGGTCAAAGGGTTCAGGCAGTCTGGCTAAGATGTCTTCAGCAAGCTCTAGAACCATTTCTCCAGGAGATTTGACCCCATTTTTCTCTGTACTGGCCGGAGTCAGTCTTTGTGGTTGGGTCAGCAACAGACCTTTCAACAACTGGAAAATGTCATGAACGATTAGCCTACCAAGTTATTCCGCCATGCTGTTTGAGCTGCTGAACGAAAGACCCATACAGTACATTGAAAATTTAACATGAATGAAATCAAGCGGGAAGTCATCCTTTCCATAAAATTATTTTCAGAAAAATGCCTGAATTTCAGCACGTTATGTCTTAGAGTTTTTCAATTTTTCAACTCAAGGCTAATTCTCTGAAGAGAAAAGGTCTTACTGTCCTTTTTCCCACTCCAAAATTTTTTGATTTCGTCAGAAGGTTGGGACTTCAATTTCAAAATAATTCATTCTATACCCATAATTTCATATGAAAAATTACTTTCTGTAATAAATTGACTTTTAATGCCGATCTTGTTGTGGTAGTCCGATATAGATTAAATATTTTTCATTCATCAGAACTCAACAGGTAAAATTTAGTAATCTTGAGTTGTATTAAAACGAATCTAATCCCGCACTTCAACTAAGAGACGTCATGTCAAAGTAGTAGTAAGCCTGCATTATATGCATTAGAAAATGTGTAGAAAAAAACCCTAGAGCGGTAATTTTAGAGAATATGACAGTCATTCTCGCCTCGGACGTTTCCTGGTTTTCCTTGGTAATGTTGGCATTGTCGTGCAGACCAAACGCTTCTGGGCTGCTAGTCATTGGCAACGCTCTGATGTGGCTGACGAACTCATCGTAAGTCTTCACTGGTGGGCAGTAATAGTCGCCTCCGCCGGTTAAATTGTACCTGTGGGAGATTATTGAGGGTGCAGTGACTTCATGGCACAGTGAAACGATTTCGAAACCTAATAAAAAATATAATTATAGATACAGAAATGATCATTTATAAAAATTTAAATTTAAAAATGTTCCTAAAATTTAGGCAACAAATGCATTATAAAGATGTTGATTCTTAAAAAAAAAATTAAGTCATTGCTGATTACTTTCTCACAATTAATTTCATTTATTCAATCAAAAAACTCCTTGAATAAGGTTTACATCGAGGAATAAATAATTGCATATGAAAAAAATTCATTTTTTAATGTACTGTATAAGATCCTGAGCAGAAACTGTATAATGAATTCTTCTCAAATGTTGGCGGTTTAAAGAAGATACAATTAATTCCCAAGCGCAGTTTTGTGTTGCCATTAATTTTAGCGTATAGCGGTCGGTATCTTTTATCCATGAAGTTTTCAGGCTGATCAACAATTTTGAGATTTGTTTAGCAGAACATTTTGGCAGTTTCAGCTGGGGGTGGCACTTTTCGGGGGGTATATCGGCAAGGGTTGACGTCTGTAGTTGTACCTGTCAGTTTGGATGATTTTGGGACAGTAGACCAGTGACAAGAGGGACATGAGCAACCGTCTGTCCTTATCATCAGTCACTCTGCCACCATAATTACACTCCCCCGTGAGGTACAACAGAGCACTGAACGGAACATCATCGTATTCGTCTAGGAAGAGCTTGAGTTGGGCTACAGAGATCCGTAGGTCACTGTCATTGAACTCGTACGACACGTTCCAGCCCAGGGGCCCAAAGTGGCGCCTTTCTTGCGCCAGGGCGTGGAAGAAGCAGAGCCCAAACAGGAGCCTCTGCCACGCGGCGTCCTTCTTGCAGGAAGAGTAGAACTCGGCGTCGCAAATTGGCGGGTTCGCGTAAGAACGCAAGAGATTGGCTTTGAGTCCCTTCGGCGCCTCATTTGTCATTTTCACACCTGAACAACAGAGATACATAAGCAAATTTTTTGATTCCACAAATAACTTGAGTTAGGGAGGTTTCCAGTTAGGGATTGGGTGGCTGGAATAACGTCACCAGGCCTAACCTCGTCACAATCACACTGGAATAAAGTCCTCAAGATATAATGTTGTGAGGGAATATCATTGTCAGAAATAATATCGCATTTGTGAATTTCATTTTTCTGCTAAACTGGAATAAAATCGTCGAAATATTCGTTTTCCTGAAATGTATGGGAACAACCTCATCTGGCAAAACTGGGCTTTCCTTGTAAATGTATTGAGGAGGAGTCATCGAAGTTCAATTTTAAAATGTATATGGTTACTGTACTCAAAATTAGTCGAGAAATACGGGATCGAAGTGACTCATGACTCGCAAAATATGCGTGGACATTAAATAAGAAACAATGTGGTAAATATAGAGGCCCAAATCTCAGATCGTTCAGCCGTTAATTTAATGAATTTTTATGACTATTGTATATGTATACAACAAATTCATTTACCGTTTTGGAGAATGGAGACCGGGAAATGGATTGACGGATATGAAGTTAACCACAGGCGGAATTCGGCATTCGTCTTGTCAGTATTGACCACGTCTTCGCAGAGCCTTTCCAGATCTGGCATCCAGCTCGCAGCCAAGTGACAATTTTGCAAAACTACCCAACCGCCCTCCACAACTCCTTCTTCAATCAGTTCGGCAGCAATCGGGCCCTATAAAACGAAAACGCAAATTTAATAAATTATTTGTAAACTTCATGGAAAAGATGGCGCAAAGATGCATCGGCTCAAAAATGTTCCACAGTACATACAGCACTTCAATGTTCAAATTTGTCACGTTCACTCATCCCGCGAATTGTCCTTTTATGTGCAGTACTCGTGTGTGCGGGATTTTTGAAAGACTGTCTGATTTCTGTGGTTTTGAAAAATTGATTGTGCCAAAATGGGAGCTTATTATTCATCAGTGGAAGGATTTGATCTCGACTTCCCAAGGGATTTTCCGAGCATGCTTCTGCAGTAAAGCTGTGTCAACATACGTTCCTCAATCGGTTTTCTCTCACTCATTCAGTCATTCTTCATCTTTCGTCGTTTTTTTTTTCAATTTATTCGGTACACTTTTTGCGTGAAGGTAAGCGACAAGTTTCCTGAAGTGTTCTTTCGTTTCAACTGTATAATTATTCTGCCTGTTTTCCTTTGTCTAGCACCACGTACTAATTGAATTAACTATAGCAAAATAATGAAACTAATTGTTCAGAAATCAAAATCGACGGTAACTTCCAGCCAATGGAGGAATTATGATTTTAAAACCTCAGTTATGCAACCATGCAGGCCCATGCTTTCTTGATTATTTAAAAAAAATTGCGAATTCAATTGCGTAAAAATACGCGAGTATATTGCAGCAAATTCTCTTTAGTGGTTGGTCGAGCATTTCTCAAGACGTTCAAGTGACGCAATATTTCGACATCGCGCCGATTTTTGCGATCAAACCCCAGAGAACAACTCGCCTGTCCTTGACCCAAAGATATGCTCTTCAGTTTGTCCGTCATTCCTTTGATATCCGCAAACTTGACCAACGCAGCCATCGGATCAGCTCCGGGTGAAAGAACGAAAATGATCGGCGATCTATGAGATGAGTCCACGAAAGAACCGGCCAAGTCGAACGCAGGAGGTTCCACATAAGTCGCACCCATGTTTTCCACGATGAAATCCTATATAAATGAGATTTTCGGGAAAGAAATTCATTAGAGCAAGGATCAGTCAGTAATCTATATACAGTGGCATCAAATGACACGGCGGTAAAAGCAATTGATCCTCACTTGAACAGCAGGAATGAGTTTGTCAGGTCGGAGGCACTTCAAAATGACAAGTTTTTGCATGGCATTCGCAGTGGAGAAAACGCCGGGAAAAGGAACTGTGTTCGGTTCCAACGCATCATACACTCGTTTCCATCCTTCGGTGTGTCTGTCGAAACTTTCTCGTAATCCTGGGGCAAAAAAACACAGGCTCAAAAATATGCATACAATATGTATTCATTCATAAATCGCAGAATGTGAATGATAACCCCCTCAGAAATTTTGATCGCTCAAACTGGGCGCAAAACGAAAATGAGTGCCACCGTGGATTTCTTCAAGTTGTTTGTTTGAAACATACTTCAGTCTTCCTTTGTATATACTCCATAATTCGAATATACAGGTGGACTCTCTACAACGATCTTGCCTACAATGATATTCTCCGTAAAAGAAATTTTTTTCAGTTCCCATATGAGGCTCTCATCCACCCTTGTCACAGGGCGTTGAAAATTTGTTAGGCCAGCTGGAAATTGAAAGTTCTGCGTTGTTTTAACCGTTACCTTACCCAAATTTTAAATGATGGTGTAAACAACAAAAAAATAAAATTTTCTAGCAGGCCTGAAGTTTTTTATCCTTCAGCTGCAACATAATGGGTGGAGAACACGTACCAGCTGTAACTGAAAAGTATCCACTTCCCATCATGCAGTAAATTAAGATTTGTTAAATCCGAAAAAATCCCAGAATCTTACATCATTATGGGCTATGATTTACAGTCATACACCCATGCTCCATTAATAATCAAGATCGCGCCCAAGTGGAACAATATGCAAATCCGCAGAATACAGTGAAATCCCAGATGCGGACGTGATTGGTGCATCAAGAGCGTCCCTAAGTTGAATTGTCCATAAGTCAAGTCATGTTTTCCCGTAGACTTACATTATACAATTTTTAATTTGTGTTTCATGGAAGAAGTATTTTTTAAATCCCATGAAAAGATTGTCTGTCACTTAAATTCAATTCAGTGAATATATTTTCAACTCAATAAGAACATTTGGAGCATTGAATAATGTATCTCTGTACTATGAACATTGAAATGTTGGCATCTGCAAAAATAGCATTCAAGTCACAAAGAGAGAAGGAAGTCTCTCTATGATGCAATATTTAATTTCTTCTAATCAGCTGAATGGATGGGAAAATCATGGGAGAAATGACAAAGAAGTTTTCTTGCACAAATTTTAGTGTTAGAAATATCTGTTTTTTGCAATCAAGCCAAACAAAAGTCAATTTTTGTGAAATTTATTGGCAAGTTTATCATGCAATGTCTTCATGTCAAGTGAGTGTCCATATGTCAGGTCTTTTGTATGCCCTTTTTATAGAAAAATAAATGTCCCTATGTCGATTCGTCGTCATGTCAAGGTGTCCGCATGTTGGGGGTCTCACTGTATTTACATACTCACCATGCAACTCCTTGTGTGCTGACGCCTGCACAATATCAGACCAGGCTCTCTCGTTTAGCCAACCACAACCCGGGTTCGAATACGGGTTCTCCAGTGCGACGGAGCCAGCAAACAGAAACTGCAACAAGTCTTCATGCAGAGCACCCTGTAATATATATACAACAGTATTTTCATGAGTCACTCAGCAGAAGTATAAATGCTACATCGTAAGTTCGTAACTAACTTTTTCGCGTTGCACAGAGATGCATAGGAGGAAAGCAAACAACAGCTTGTCCTTTTCAAACAAGGATCGACACACGTTCTTGTACACGCTGTAGGTGAAATGGTCATTCAAAAATGTAACCCTTTCCTGAATGTCCTCGGATTTCGTACTGCCAACGATTGCCTGTATGTGTATGAGAAACAGAAACCTCAATGAGTTTAGCTGCAAATTTTACGAAATATATATAAATTAATCTGGTATTTTTTTTTCAAGATCAACTGAGGAAAAGCTTTTTTTGAGAACGAAGAGACCTTAAATTTCTCAAAGTTCCCCGTCATTCAGGACAAAATTAATTCGAAGTCAATAAGAGGGTACATATATATTCCATAATAACATTCTCCATGAACAGCACGAGTTAAGACATATGTTGGTTCTGTATTTAGAATAAGGTTCATCAATTTTAATGTTCATAATAAATTCTTCAAAATATCATCTTCACACAAATCTTATTTTTTTGATATTTTGTTCATGATTCAAAACCATCGCTCTCGCTATTCATTCTCCGAATTCGAATGCGCATTCCCATATTTGATGAATATCATAAAAACCGCCTACGTACTGATTCAGAAAGTTTCTTCTCATTAGACAGAATGCAGATGATCCCTGATATTTCAACAAATTCAATTTTGACTTCCAACAAATTTATCATTTGCGTTTGTTATTGCGTTTCTCGATCATGATTTTGAATTTGGAAAACATTATTTTAACTAAGCCATCAGGATAAATAGGAGACTGAGCAAATTATTTCTGAATGACAATAAATTAGGATTTCGTGAGTGAATCTACTCGTGATTATGCTTCTGGAATTAGCTGATTTGCGGATGTTTTCATTCAGAAAATTTGATTAATTTTCTGGCCTTTGTATAGGCTCCGAACGCCCATTCGATTATCTATTCAGACGAAAAAGAAGTACGGTATACCCACAAAGATATTAAGAAAATTATTTTCACCTGTTCGTACAGCCGGACAAACCAGGCCAAGGAATATTGGTACATAGGGTCGATGTTGGCGAGCTCCGAAATGCAAAAGAACAATCTCGAAGAATGAGTGGCAACGGGTTTGTATTGATTTCGGGTCGAATCAATTTCGTTCTCTGTCGCTGCAATCACCAACTCCTTCTTCTTTATCTCCTCCGACAAAAGCTGATGAAAAAATAAAAAAAAGGAAATCAGGTTGAAAAATGACGGACGAAGTGATCCTGATATAATTTGATCAATAGTCTAAAAAAAAGAAAGCCGAGAAGATAAATTCAAATCGAAATTGACCTTCGAAGAAGATAAAACTTGGATTCCGGTCTCGTCGTCCAAAATATTGCCTTCTGCAGCCAGGACCTCCAGAATTCGATCCTCCAATTCCTTTAGTTTTCGTTTATTTTCGGCACCTTCGACAATCAGTTGATTCTTGCGAGTTTCTAGCTGTGGTCTCTCTCTCGCAGCAACGATACCTTGATTTTCATCAGCAAGTGATCATATTTTTTTTAATCGTTCCTCAAAAAAGACTGGAATGGCCACGAACCGAGCAATTGATCTTCCAATCCAACAGATGTCAGCATGAAATTCAACACAGTAACTTTCACCGAGATTTCCGGGACGAAATGAGGATTCCTCATCCTCGTCGTCATGTACAATCGGAATTCCGGGTTGAATTCTGCTCACGGAAAATGACAATCAGGAAGCGCAAAAATTGACAACTGGCTATTCTCTTCACTTGGAAACATATCCTATCCCCCGAACACCACGACTTTCCACACAGGTGTCGCCTAGATTTATTTTGGCGCGCAGTTTTACAAAACTTCGGATAATTGCTGGAATGTGGTTTATGCTCGTTTAGCTCATTTTATATCTAATGCGAGCGACACCTGCCGAAAACTTTCAAAAACTTTACACAAAGCGAAACAATGAGGTGACGCTCCTTTTTGAGGGGAAAAACAAAATCGTGAATCACCGATAAGTTGCTCTCCGAGTTTGATGTAATCCACGCCACCGGATTTGATGGTTTGCCTGGACAGTAGAGGTTCTAGAGCAGGATCAAGTTCTTCCCCAACATTTTCCAGAAGCACTGGACGACCGAATTGCACAGCAGTTTCCAAGGTTCTCAAATACCCCGGATCCGACAACTTCAGCACCGCAATACCATTGTCCTTCTCAGCGTTCCTTATCCACTTGTTTGCTTGTCCTTCATAAAAAATAAAATAAATGAAATCACGTGACGAAAAACAAACTATAACCCTTTATTTTCATAGTTCTTCGAAGAATTTGCTCTATCAGAATGATTTCAGACTTCGCAGAAAAATCGATCGATCACAAGACTTCTCAATTTTTTCGGGTCGAATCAATTTCTTTTCGCTGTCTCTGATATTACCAAATCCTCCGTCTCCATTTCAGTAACTCCTTCCTTTTCACATTTATTGAAAACATTGGCACAAATTATTAATTTATTCATCTATATACAGTACTGTACTAAGGGAGTTAAGGGGCGGTGATCAGTTAGAAATACAGTACTGTACATATATTTGTGCAACCTTTTCTCCTGGAAAAAAGGCTTCCGCATTTTGCTGATAAACATCGTAAAAACCATCAGAAAAAAAACTACATAACGTTGAACACATTTACTTTTCCTGAAATTCCCGTAAGGGCCATTTTTGAGCGAACAGTGAGCGCATAAAAAAATTAGCAGTCGATCGCATGGCGACACAATTACAGTACTGTAATGAGCTTTTAAAAATGTGCGAAAAATCGCGCTTCTTCGAATTGGTGGACATTTCATCATTCATAAATTTTAATAATGTTAAATGTTGATAAACTAAATAACTAATAATAAATAATAACCTAAATGCTGCTCGAGTCGACCGCAAGAACAGAGCGAAATTAAGCTGATGTAAAAAGAAAATTTCACCCTGTGGATCAATCATCAGAGGCCAGCGACGAGCATTAGTGACGATGATGGCATTGTCGATTGAAAATGAGTCGACCGGAAGTCCGTTCATGTGCCAAGCCCGGATTTTGACAGAGTCCCCCATCGTGGCGCTGAGGGAAAAGGGAACTGAGCACGGGATACCAGCGTCCACGCAATCCTGGGCCCATTTCGTCACACAATCCCGCCGGAAATCCGCCGTGAATGGTCCCAAATACGCAATAATCGCTGCTGACACCATCACGTCTCCAGTTATATTAGTGTACCTGAATTTTTGGAAGAAAATTCAATTTCGGAATCGGAACGTCATCATTGCGGACTGTATATGCAAACACGGATGCAAAACTTGTAGACGACTACCAGCTATAAACTGACGACTATATACCCTCACGCGGAATCGCTCTTATACTTGTTTTCGGATTTTTTTAAAACAAATTTTTAATTTACTGCATAAGCAATAATTTTTCAAGTTACGGCCAGAGTTCTCACCCATTTGCAAAAAAAAAATGTAAGGGCCAGCTAAGGATCAATATTTTTTTTCAACCATCATCTAAAATGTGGAAAAGATGACAGTTGAATCAAAAACAAAAATTTCGATTTGTTAACTGGCCTTGAAATTTTTAACGCAATTAACAATATTAGTGTACCTGTAATGATCATGCAATAAAGTGATTTTTTTCTTTTAAAAAATCCAAAAACCTTTCAAATCTTATAACATCAATAAGGACTAATCCATTATTCATTTTACAGTCATATATACTTCAGAAATACACAAATTCGCGCAGAAGTGGGACAAACCACGATCAGTTGAACCTCAAGTCAAAACCCCCCTATGCCGATTGTTTTTCAAATTCCTATGTGAATCCCTTCGGAAACAATTTATGCATTGAAAATCTCCTAAACTCAAAAGGCTTTCCTCCTCAAACCTTCAAAACTGGAAGCACAAAGGCACTGGAAATAAAATATTCAAATTTGCTGCATATACTGAACTTCTAAGACGATGTTTGCTTCATTTTGATTTCAATACATTCTTTTAACATCCAATGCTGATACCTCTAGTATTTTCTTGAAACTAAGACAGGAAATAAATACGGACCTATTTCCAAGCTCTTCTGCACATTGACTCCATCTCTCCTTTTCTCCTCCGAGACCATCAATTAGCTTCTCGGCACGATCCAGTTTCTGAGAGCAGAGTGACAATTCATCCTCCAGCTCCTTCTTCCGCTTGATATTCGCTGCAAATTCGTCGTTCAACGCTTGCAGTTTATCAGTGACCTGAATATAATTTGAATTGAGGATTATACGGTATATGAATTTATCATGAAATGCTCATGATGGACGCTGCGTTGGGCCTGGATGGATTATCATTTTTTTCTTGCCTGTTGAAGTTGGCGCCGCTTGTCCTTGAGTTTACCCATCTGAGCTTCAAGCTCTCGTTCTGCACCTTGAAGCCGTTCTTTCTTGGGAGCCACGATTTTATTGACCCTGTCATACACTTCCATTGCCCGCACCCATTTGCACAGGTTCACGCAGGCTCTGCTCACGTCTTTTATGACTTCCGGGTCGAAATCCGGGTTGAGGATGTACCTGCATCATGATTCATGCACACGCATGACGTGGGATTTAAACCAGTTGGGTATATACTGCTGAGAAAAGCAAGCAGAGGTTCTCAACCTTCTCGACTCTCAAACCTTTTCATCGTACCCTATAGGAACGAGCCCATGATTCAAGTAAGTTTGTATAGGGCGAGGCCTTTTATAGTAGAAATGATACCCAGTTCAATCACTTTCGTTCATATACGACTGAGAGATGGAAAACTAAAGATTTCAAAATTCCGCTGCTAGTTCAGAGCTAATTAGATGTTGAAAATGTTTTCGGGATTTCAATTCAACTGAAACAATAAAAAAAAAAGAATTTGTGCAGAAGTTTCAGCACATCGGCGAATCTCCTGAAAAGACCATGTTCAGGAAATACAGGAAAATTTAATTTTTACCGGATTTCCAACTTTGAAATGAATTGAATTCAATTGCAATAATACAAACATACTGACACAAAACTAGCAGTTAAATCGTGGAAACTTAACCTTGCTGGGAAAGACATAAAATTTTTTTTACAGCAGCTGAACTTCGATAACTCGTACCTCCCCTAAGTTTAGTACAGTACTGTACTTCACTGTTGCGATTTTTTTCAAAGTCGCAGCCCTAAGAAATGATGCATTAAAAACCACCCCGACTAAAAGGCTTCCCCCTCAAACATCCAAAACTCGAAGTTTCGAGAGGCCTCCTGACTATTATTTTATTGACACATGCAGGAAAGAGAAAGAAATGAAAATGTAACGATGTGTTTTTGAAAGGAAGTGAAGGATGAAGCCAGCAAATAAACCCTTGCCTCGATGCAAGTTCAGCGCATCCTGTCGTCAACTCATTCGAGAAGCAATTCAAGGCCTATAGCATCACTATAATTACAATTTCCCTAAATTCCTTCGAAGTTGAGAACCTCTGCGCATGGAAACACTGTTTGAATTTCCCTAACTTCTCTCGGATCTTCGCCATGATGTGCGGAAGAATGTTATCCTTGTCATAGGATCGCAGGGTGTCCAGGAATCGAAGGTCGCCCAGGACCTTTTGCGAAGTGGTCCACCAGTCGTCGATGTACTTGCCAAGGACAGCGGGATCCGCTTTCTTCTCGGGCTTACGATCCAACATGACGCACACGGCTTCCATGACGAGTTTCACGCCTCCTGGAGGGTTCTTCATGGCTTTCACGAGCGTGATGTCGGCGGGTTTCAGCGTGTTGAGTGCGGAAACGGCGGCATTGAGTGCAGGCAGAGCCTCGGCCAACTCGTTCTCGCAATCGTCCTTGATGGCCTGAGCTGCTGCTGCGGCTTCGTTTGACGCCGCTTCGTCTGCTGCAACCACCTGATATACATACGATGAAGATGAAATAAGACAAGGAAAAAGAGAAGATACGGGTATTTAGAATAGTGCTTTTAACATCTCAATTCTTCGAGCAGCTCAACTCAGCATCAAATTGAGTACCTATATAGTCATAACTCACACCTCTTGCTTTCAATCACTGTTTTACGAAGCGTTCCATGACAGTACTGTATTTGACTGGTGTATTTAGATCCCCCGCCTCACTATATTTGACTGCTGTATTCAGAAAAAATGTTATGTTTAAAGGAGGGGCGAACGTTCGTATATATGTTTTTTTCATTCTTGATATTGTTATATACAAAAGCCGATTATGCAGAAATACCTTTAAACTCTCAACGGACATTTTATAACAGCCGAACGCTTCTTGTGTACCGTATTTTGGATGAAGACTACCTATAGAAACGCTGGCTTTAGTTTTCCACATCGATCATTTATTCGAAGAAAAATAGACGTGTTGCGGATCCTATTCGCTCCATACGAACCTCTTTTTGACTTTCCACATTGACAGTGTCCTTCTCGATTTTGATCATCAACTTCTCAGTTTCTGCAGACAATTGCATCAATTGTGGACGCAAAGCAGTTTCCCTTTCTTGCATAACGGATATCTGCAAATCGTCACAAAATAATTCAAATCTGTCGGCGTTTTTGATTTATTCATACTATACGTGACAATTTTTAAACATACCTGCGAGGTGGCGTATTCGAGTCTCTGCAATCCAGTGACGTATCGACTCCGTAAAACCAGTAATTGATTCCGTTTCACGTTCAGTAGGTTCTTGAAGGTTAGGATCAGCTCTAGAAATGATGTGGGAGTGACGTAATTCGGGCGACCCAGAGCCTTCCGGAATTCCTCCGACATTACTACGACGCTCTGATGGAACTTGTTGCACATTTGCACGCATTTTGTTCGTATTTCGTCATCAAGGTCAACTTCCGACAGGAATTTGTTTGCTACCCTTTCCAAAGCTTCTTCCGGCCAAGGGGTGAACCTGCAAACAATAATAAGATGATTTTTTTTTATTTATAAAATATTATACGAGAAGACATTTTGTTCCACAAATTTTCAGGGTCCTTTCTTAGTGGAAAGAATCCTATTATTTGAACCACTGATGATCACTTCTTTTGTTTTCTATATTTTATATTGAAAGCCTGCATATTTAGTAACTGATATATCGAAGAAGTTACAGAAGAATTTTCCGAGGATTTCCGGAACAGATTATAAACATAAAACAGTTGAACCTCGACTTCTCTATGTTGAATTCTTTTTCGAGTCCCTGTCTCCAATAGAAAAAGTGCAATAAAAAACTACACAACTCAAAAGCTTTCCTCCTCAATCCCTCATCATAACTTGAATTTTCGGAGGCGTTTTGGCTATTATTTTATTGACACAGGCACGAGAAAAGCAACAAAAATGTTACTTGATGCGGTTTGAAAGAAAAAGAACAATAAATTGGGCAAATAAACCCTTGCCTCCAGTAGTGCAGCTAGAATCCTGTCAACTCATTTATTCTGCCATTTAAGGCCAAAACATGCTTTTCAGTTTTCCGTATTTCTTCATAGTTATTTCCAACAAAAAATAGCTGTTTCCCGAATTTGAAATCTCCTTGCATTAAATTTTTTCCGCTGGTCCCTTGAAGTTTGACTGAGGCATCAGCGCATCTGCTCAATTTGAAAGAGACTTTTGGTGGCCTAAAATCAACTGCTCTTTACATTACACTACAGATACCTGACGATTAATTTCCCAATGCTTCGAACAGAAGACCATTATACACGATGCATCATTGTACACGTGAATTTGTATCGTCCAATATATTTGCCAGACAGCCGAATGCTGGTCTTACCAATCGATGGTGCAGCAGTTGATGAGAGACGGAAACATGCGCAAACGGACTCTAAACGCTTCTCCGATGGGTGACATGACAATAAAAATGTGCAAGTTCCTTTTGACTCTTTCCACAAAGAAATTGTACAATGAAAGCGGAGAAGGGTCGATTTTCCGGCCTTGTTCCCTAGCAGCCGCTTGCATTCGTTCAAGAATCTCGGCTCTTTCGTCAGCTTGATACAAGTTCGGAATATCTCCTGTTTTCGAGAGAAAGAAGAGCGCGAAGAATTATGAGGGAGATGAGAATTTTAGGGATTTCATTTTTTTTGTGGCAGAAAACCTGTGTTTAGCAAAAGATTTATGTCCTCGACGAAGGATTCATCCTTGATTTGCGAGTCGGTGAAGAGAAACACTGTCGGTTTTCCTTCGCCGCCGGCCTTCATGAGAATCTTTTTGAGATCATCTCGCCATTGCTCCAAGCCATAATTCCTACTCATTTCCAACTGCGTGAAATAAATTACACATACAGTATATTTGTACATCACAGGCAATCAAACATTATTTCGGCGATTCATTGCCCAGATATCGGGGAAGAATAAGGTCTGTATGATTTTTTATACCTGACACAGTTCGTAACCGGCAATAAAGGCTGCCAGCTTGCAGCAACTTTGCCTTCCGGATCCACCCATTCCAATGAGCAATGCGTGTCCGGAATCTTGTTTGAGAACGCGGCATAATCGAGATACATGATCTGTGGCGAACTGGAACATGACGATCGACATCGGAGTCTTGGATACCATATTGTATTCGTTCAAATAGCTTTCCATCACGGATGTCAACTTATCCGTGTTGGCGATCTGCACAGCACAAATTCGATTCAAAATATCATTATAAGTGCACGTAAGGTTTCAAAGATATTACATTTGCTTCTCGAGAGATCGAAAATTTAGATTTATATGTACTGCATTTTTCTCAGATTTTACACGAAAAAGACATAGGCGGGTGCACATTTTTCAAAAAGTGTTCGAAATTTAGTCGTGCATCGCACTGTACCTGATCATAATGGGACATTTTGGACCAACTTCAAAAGAAAAAATTATTGCCATGGAAGCAACCGGAAATTTGTTCAATTTGAGTTCAATTCATGTTTAAATTCAATTTTGGTGTTCTTATTTTTTAAACATTGTGCTTTTAGAGTCACTTAAAATGAGGAGCAGGTCTTCCTCAGGGACAAGATTTTATCAAAATTATGTACTGAAAAACCCCAGTTTGTGCGCATCTTACTTATTAATTGGATTAAATACGGTATGATGTTATGTGTTCAAATTTGAACATTGACATATTAATATGTCAATGAATTTCATGTCGAGAACAATTCATTCGAAAATGGGTTCATATTACACGAACGAATGCTTGATCTTCAACGATTTTTTTTTTTTCCTAGCTGTAGCAGTATATAATAGCCAAAATATTTGCTGAATCTCGATATCATAGAATTGTTCGTTATACATAACAAATATTTTGTTTTTCAGGTCACTATATATATGGCTCAAGAAAGCATTATGTGTTGACAAACAAGAACACGAAATCTGACGTACCTCGTCGTAAACGCGGGTGTCGGCGTCCGGATAGAAATAATCTCCAAACATAATTTTCTTCACGTGATTTTCGTCCACAACCGTCGATCTGCCAGAACTAGTAGCTTGTGCAGCTCCCAAAACGGCTCTATCCAAGGTTTGTTTGAAATTGTTCTGACACGAATCCTTCAACAATTCTACAAACTGAACCCTGCGAATACGAAAGGCGCAATAAGAAATGCTTTCATGAATTTATAAAACTGCGAATGCAATTTCAAGACAAAATGATTCAACATTTGTAAGGTAACTTTCAGTTTGAGGAAGACTTGCATTTCACGAGTGTTTTGAATAATGCTGCTGTTGCACATAATTATTGTCTAAAATTTCCTCATCGACCTTTCCATATAGTACAGTATATATTTCTGATGATGAGTGCTCACCTGTCGTTTGCATCATTCAATCGGTCATAGAAACTCCGGGTGACTTCATGTGCCCAAAGTCGTATGAGCTTTCCAGAGTCGTTCAAATGCGTGGACGGCACCAAGAGAATGCCGCGAATAACGCGGGAAAAGTCTCGCAAATTGAACAAATAGTGAGATTTCGCCGGGGTCGGTCGGAAGTGTCGCATGGCGGCCTTGTAGATCTCGAGTGTGGCGCCGGTGACGGCTTTGGCCATCCGAACCACGCCCAACTCGAACCCCTTGGTGAAATGCCAGTCGAGGATCGAGCCAAATATTTTGGTCAGGTTGGCATCGTCGAATGCTTCCATGCCGATCACGTTCAAGTGGCGGAGGAACCTGAAAGTGACGTCGTTTTTGCCGCCGGTCGCAGCAGGACACATGGCGGCGACTAGCAACTATTAGACGGAAATAGGAAAGCATATATAGCACCAGCAAAATGGAATACTTGTCCACAACTGATTTATAATTGTAAAAAAAAAAACGAACCAAAAAATTTACAGTTGAACCTCTTTAATTCGAACTTCAATGTACCAGCAGAAAATTCAAGTAAAAAAATAAACCATCATTTTCGCCTACCAATAAGGGAGGTATCTGACATAGGAATGCTTGAGTTATCAAGGTTCAACTGTGCTGTATAATAGCAATATTAAAAGGCCATCAATTCTTGATTAAAAGAACATTTCCACGTACATTTTCGTAACGGTCAATTAATTGTGTTTACCCTCACATCCAGTAGTCAGATGAATTTTTGGAGATGTAAAAAGGAAATTTACCGTATCAATGATTTCGAGTCGAGTTGTTTCCTTCCTTTCGTACCAATACCCATGATCTATCCACTGTCTCAGAAGCTCAATTGGTGGCTGCGACCCGAACTCTTCTTTTTGTGGCATGTTCAGATCATCGATGAACAGAACACACGTTTTTCCCATCGGTGGACCAAAAACTCCTTTTCTTCGTCTGCACGGGTAAAATGCGAATTAGCACGGATGGACGAATATACCGTGTTTAAAACATGGAAACAATGATTATAAATTTACAACGAGACGGAAAAATTAGTGCCTTGAAATTTGAAAATGCTCCAATTCATATTCAAATTGATCTCACCAAAACTTCGAAAGAAACAAGAATTTTAACTCTCGTGATTTTGAACTGAACATGGTCGCAGATATAAGTTGAATTTTAATTTTAGAATTTATTCTTCCTCTTGCTGGTGGTCGTCAACATCAATCATTACATAGTACTGTCCCCCCGCGAATCTAAAAATTCGTTGTTCCGTGATATTTGCGTAGCCAATTTTCCCAGGCAAAAAGTATACGTAAAATATTCGAGTGAACAGTAAATACGGTTATGATTATGATGAGTAAAATCGAACCTGTCCAGTTTATTCATGATGACATCTTGTGCTTGGGGAGCAGTCGTGCGAGCTGAGAAACTCAGGATGTTGGGTAAGTATTTATCCTTGGGCAAACCCATGAGGTGATGAGAAATTATTGCCGATTTCCCGGTTCCTGTCGGGCCGACGAAAATCAGCGGCTTTTTGCGACTCAAGAGTAATTTTAAAAAGTATTGCTGTCTCGCGGTTTCGTCTGTCGGGATCAACAGCTCTGACACCTATGCAGAATGTGAATAGAACCTCGGTTGAAAAGCAATCCGGGTGATCTATAATTGCTAGGCACTATGATCTAAAGAAAAAAGGTATTGTAGAAATGTTAGTGAATTCTGTACATGATCTAATCTAAACGATGCAAGTTTTTTCTTCTCTTTTCACTGTTCCAACTTCCTACACCGAAATTCAATTAATCCAATGATATTCTGATAACAATCCAAACAATAAAAAAATTAGAATGTTTCAACTCTCTTAACAAATTTACAGTACTGTGATATGAAAGGAGAATTTTGTCTGCACTATACTCAACATAATAAAAATACAGGTATTAAAAATCCGAAAAGAGAAATCCAGAAACCCTAATAGATGACATTTTGGAATTTTTTCACGCGTTCAAAAGCACTAGAAAACATTAATTCTGGCGCGGAACTCAGAACAATATCCTCGAATATGTATTTCGCTTTGTTCTGCTGAAGAGATTTATACCTTTGCATTCGGAGGAATTTGAAGAGACTTCTTGTTCACAGTGTCTATCCAACCAACCCAGTGTCCAGCGTCTTTCCTTTCGAATACAAAATCAAATACTGTTCCGGTCTCTGGGAATAATTGGTTTCGCTGGAGTTTGAAAGATTTCGGTTTCGGGTGGGCTAGATTGAATCCGAGGATGAGTTGGCGGAAGAATTCGTCAAACTTCAGTCGACTTTCTCCTGAAAAATCGAGACAGTAAAATATTTATTGATATTTCATACATGAGTGCATATAGAAAATAGCAAGTAGAAAAAAATTTTGAGAGCCTTCAATATTCAGCTTAGAACAGAACACGTTAATTCAGTCCAATTCTAACAAGCCAATGTTGCATAATCAATAAGAGACTGAGACTCAAATCTTAGACATTCAATTTTAACTGAACTGCATCATCGTAATTTCAACATCAATTCAGTGGTCGTGTTCTCATATTTTATATACTGCGCTGGTCACAGGACATTTTAAACGAGTTACAATAACGCCAGCAAGAAAAGTGATAGTACATATACCGTAGTAATTCTTCCTGACTGACGGTTTTCTGAATTTAAAAAATTCATCGCACCTTTAGACCATGCAATTTTTTCAATGCGTCTGATGCGCGATTTACTGCTTTTAAACAAAAGCTCGAAAAATTTTCTCCAACAAAAAATATATACATTTAACGCGCGGAATCGTAAATGCACTTGAGGTAAACTTTAATCTTAGTCGAATTTCAACATATTACGAAGTCGTTTGGCATTGAAGAACGGATTCAATTCTGCTGCTGGTCAAATTCGCATGTTTTAAGAGAAGTATCCTTACCAATCAGAATGGCTCCCATGGACCAAACAACAGAGAACAGAAAAAGACACTGCATCCAATTCAGCGCTGCGACGCCGTGAAATGTTTCCAGTTGATTCTCATGAGTCTCCATCACCAAGCACTCGAACATTCTGGTGAATGACTGATGAAACATAAAAAAACAACAGATCAGAAAACATACGGATATTAAAATCAATACAAGTACCGTAAAAATATATACCTGAACAAGGTGGATGTCCGAAGTGCGGACGAAAGTTTGGCACTCTTTTTCAATGAAACTCAAGCAGGGCTGAATGAGCCAATCCGTCATGTCGTGCTTTCTTAGAACGACTAGGAGGTGGTCCATAAAGAAGTACGCTTAATTTTTCCTTAGAGAGTAGCCCACGGTTGGCTCAAAGAACCCGAGGTCCATTTAGTACGGCGTTGCTCTTTGACATCGACCCCAAGCGTATTCCAAGTCACCCACTTCGAAAATCACGTTCATCTTCCTCGACATCTGAACGATTATATAATAGCATTACTATTATTCTCAAAGTCAACTTTCACAATAATTATAGGATCTCGAGTGTAAATTGCCTGGATGATTTCTCCGGACATGAGACACAGTTTCCGGTTGTCGTCCAAGACCGTGTTCATGTTCTCTATCCAAAATGCGTCGACAGGTCCGTCGAGGATGAGCCAGTATTGATCCGATGTTGTTGTTGTTGCCATTTCCCTGAAGGCATTCGCCAAAATTCCTGCAATGTCATACAAAAAAATTAAATTTGTCGCATGCAGGAAAATAATCAAGGATTCGATCATTAATCTCTAAAAAAAAATGCAGTATTTGTCTCGAAACAATTCGAGGGGCGTCTGTAAATATTTTCTGAGCAGTGTTGCCAACAAATTTGACACTATCGTGAACTAGTTTTTTCGTTTACCATTTAGTTCATTTTCTTTTTCCGTTTATCGAAGTACGAGCAAAAAATGCTGAACATATAGTACAGCACCCTGAGAACTATCCATCCGCACATGAAAAATTACGAATTTTGGTTACACCACTGCAGCATATATAGTGATACCTGGAAAATGTTCGGGTGTTCGAGTGTTTTTAAACACTTTGCTCCATTCAGGCCTCATCGCAGAACATCACAATTTTGCCAAAAGCTCAAGTCTAGTATCTCTGGCAGGATATCAAAGAATAACTGAATTTTGCATGTGATTAGCAGCATGTATTAACAGCGATGGCTGCTTTTTGCTTCTTTGGCGAAAAAACATCATATCAGATTCGCGTGGCCGCAGAAAAGCAAAATTTCGTTCTTTGGGAGCTGATAAAATGCAATCACAGTCAAGAAAATAAACGTTGATAATGGACAAATTGAAATTGAGCTCGAATTCCTTTAGAAGTAAAGTACAGTGAGTCCTTCTATAGATCCTTATTGTCTTCATAGAAATGCCCGAGGAAGAAAAATCCGACGGCGCAGTACATTATTTGCTTTGATTCGGTTCCTTGTGTTGATAATAGGATATTGCATTCCCAATAAAACATACCATCAGACCATTCATGGGAAACTTTCTCAAAGCAGCCGTAAAGATGACCGAGATCCAAGGCTTTAGGATTGATGATGCGATAAGTGACCTTGGCTTCACAAACCATGTTTGGGTACTTCTCTGCAGCCATGGACAAAGCAGCAGCCAAGCACTGGAATTCAAGCATCACACTTTTTAAAATGTTGGCTTTAGAAATTCGTTGCATAAAAATATTGCCTAGAAAGATCAAGATGCATCTGGGCTTTGTGTAACTACAGCATTATGCACCTATTGAGTCGTCAGCTTGTTTTGCACCTATTAGAATAATGTTCTCAGCATGCACATTCAGCTTTGAACCCTTAAAAAGGTTAAATGCATATACACGCAGAGTGATGGAAGTTTTTTCACCACAAAATCAATGGTGAATGATGAATTTTTACTGTGAATCATCATTAAAGATTGTGAAGTGCTCGACACATTTAGCCTCATTTGCGTTAAAATCCTATTATCAATATATTTGTGCTTTTTGATTAAATAAAATTCCGTTGAAGATAGCACTCCTAAAATTCTATCTTTCGTTGTTTTACGAATATGTCCTACGTCAATAGAGAATTTGATTGTCATAATAATAAAACTTTCTACAGCTAGCATTATAAACAGATTGTTCACTGAAACTCAATTGGTAATTTACTCTGTAATCACTTTCAGATCCAAATTTAAAATCATCATTAGAGTACAGGTTCAAAATAAGTCATGAACAATTCCACACGCATATGCACAAGATACAAAATTGCCTTGGTGAGTCACTCAAATCCAGGCATCAGTACATGCTGGTAGAGATCAGAAGCCTTTCAATATCTGATTATCATTATTTCACTGAGCATATTGAAACCTTCCTTGGAAATTGTATACCTGATGCATATACCATGCACACGCACCCCATTTTTCTGCCTAGATTGGCCAGAAAAATAAAGTAAAAAAAGGTGTGTGATACTTGTGTGCAGTAAATACAGAACTCAAATAGGGGGCTTCAAGTATTTAATTTCGAACAGCCACAGATGCTCAAGGTACAGAATATACTCTGCATAACAATTAACTTCGCCTTAATTTAATGAAGAAAGGTTAAGCTGAGCAGTAAGATGAGTACATATAAAAGACAGGAGAAACTGAACTGATTCAGTTAAAACATACACTAATAGGAAATTTAGCAAGCACAGAAATGCATTTTTAAATACCATTAAGCATGGCCATCGCAATTAGGGTACCATGATAAAGGTAGACTCTCATCCATAACAATCTTATCCACGATTATCACCGTACAATGGATTTTATCTTGGTCTCAATAAAGGGTTCTCTTCCCGTGTTACAGGGGTTCTCTACAACCAAATTATCTTCACAACGATGTTTTTCTGGTCCCTTGAATTTTGTGCAATTTACAAGTGTAGATCGCGTAGACTGTAGAGAGAGTCCACCGGCATAAAACTCTTTTGAGGATTAGCACGCCCAAGCAGTACAGTATCAGCGATGAAAGCAATAATAATAAACCAACCTGATAAGCAGACGATTTCCCACCCAAGGACTCGCCCACCAACATGAGCCCGTGCCTCACCAACAGCATATCGTACAACTGCACAGTTTTC